CTCTAGGTATCCTAGAAACAGATTTCTAAGGGCCTGTAAAAGCAAATTTAATTTTTTCTCACAGCACTTGTGAACTTCAATTTCACTAAATTTGGGGTTCATGGAGTTTTGTTTTTTTTTTTTTGCAATGTGAAATGGTAGCCATTTGACATTGGCCACAGAATTTCCAATAAGAATATAAGATGTAAAACTTTATAGTGCAAAGTTTTATGATCCCAAGACTGGCATGCATCTGTATTGTTGGACTCAGGCCCTCAGTGCAGGTGGCCTAAGTCAGGGGTGCACAGGGGCTTGCAGTGATGGATGTGGGACTGGCAGTGACAATGACTGATCTTTACTGACACACAGAACCACGGGATTTTGTTCAGTTCAATTGAGTGTGGCTGCTGAAGTCACCGGCAAGGGTAAGACACAGCAGCCAGTTGGCAAACTGTCTCTTTGGCATCTCCGCACAGCTGTCTCGTTATCCTAGAACAACACTGGATCGTCTGTAGATCCCTTGTTTGTAGATCTTTAACAAAGCCATTGAAGAGTGGGGATCTTTGGATTTGTGCTTTTGATTCGGTGTCACTCTGCTCAGTCTCTTGGACAAAATGGTCCTGTCTGGCCTTGAGAAACACGTTCACGATGACGTCATGTGGGAGGAGTGCTGGCCTCGCGTGGGGGCTCGTGGTCTGAGCTCCTTTCTCTTCACTTATTGTGTGAACTTAGACAATTATCCACCACCGCAATCCTCGATTTTTTTTCCATCTGTAAAACACACGTTACAAAACCTACCCATTTTGTGAGATTTTCATGAGAATGAACTTTCATGAGAATTAACAGATGTGTGAAGCTCGGTGAGGGAATGTGACCCCTCGCCATTATCTATACGCAATCCTCGATTTTTTTTCCATCTGTAAAACACACGTTACAAAACCTACCCATTTTGTGAGATTTTCATGAGAATGAACTTGCATGAGAATTAACAGATGTGTGAAGCTCGGTGAGGGAATGTGACCCCTCGCCATTATCTATAATGCGCTGTCATGCGTCAGGAAAGATTAAGGAGACGGGGTGGGGGCGGGCCAGGGGTTCTGGCCCCCAACGGAGTCCCTGATTCCACTCAGATGTCTTTGTCGATTTCCCTCTGTGATTTACCCAGGGAGAGCCTCCTCCAGGATTCCATCCAAACTGCTACATTCTGGGAGAGGCGCTGGGAGAAACAGCTCACGACCCGTCTTACAGCTGCATCTCCCTCTTTGGTGTCCCTGAACACAGCTGGAGTTTTTCTTACCAATATTAACTTGGAAAAATGAGAGCTGGCCTGGCCACCCCGCCTCGGATTTGCTGCCTCTGTTCGCTTCCGGCACAGGGACCATTAGTGAGAAGATAGGGGCCCTCAGGCTGTGGCCGCAGGGCAGCCACAAACCAGAAGACCAGACCCATGGCAGGTCCGACTTCTCCCCACCGCCCACGGCTGAGCTGGGCCCAGGCCCCTTGCGTGACAATGAGTTCATTTTGACCACAGAGCTTCAGAAAAGAAAATATAATTACAACGCCACCTGCCAGTGAGTGCTCATTTGATATCAGTATCTGTATTTGGCATAATCTCCACAATCAAAAAGGCAGTTGTATCCTTGGCTCTTAAATCTGATGATTGTTCCTCAAACTCCGCTCTACGAAGGAGGCGGGTGGTCTCTTGTGAACCTGGCTTGTCCTCTCTGCGTCCCCTCTGCTCTAGGCAGCCCCGCTGCATGCCCAGGCGTCCAGAGCGAGGGCCTGTCACCAGCTCTGCCAGGCGAGCCCCAGAGCAGCCGCAGCAGTGGGTCCCTCCCCTTCGAGGAGGAGCAGCTGTGGTGTCCCCACATAGAGAGGGCCGGGCTGGGATGGGGCCCAGGGAGGCCAGGACCCTGACTCCTCCCCGTGGCCTCTGCAGGAGGGCTGGAGGCGGCTGCTCCAGGTGAGCACTGGAGGCCAGCCTGGGACACCTCAGCAGAGGCGACCTTGGGCTGCAGTTCTGTCCTCCTTTCAAGGAAGATTTGAGAGAGAGGGCTGGGGAGTCTTCCCTTTCTTGAGTCTGTTTCTTTGTCCTTCACTATAAACCATGCTTATAAGATCATTCTTCTCTTTGGGACTCCAAAATCCAGCCACAGGCCCAAGGGCTCCCAGCATAGCCATTCTGCAAAGTGTGCCCAGAGCCACGGGATGTGGCCGTGCTCCCACCCCTGTGTGTGCTCACGCTCCGCTTGTTAACACGCATGGCCTTTGACCACAATTCTAACACTGGGATTCTATTCTAAGGACATCAGTAGAGTTCCCTACACTGTGTGATTTACGTACATTGTGACATTAATTATAATAGTGAAAGACATTGGAATAAACTTGGATGTCCTACCTTAGGGGATAGATTAAATACTCACGGTACATCCATGTGGTGGAACACTCTACAGCCATGTTGCTAAGGAATACTTCATGACAGAGGAAGATGTCCATTAAATTGTTAAGCAGAAAGGATACAAAATTGTATATACAATACGATTCTCAATTTTATATATATACATATGTGTGCACATATAAAAATATATATCCATATAGTGAAAGGAAATATATAAAAATCTCAGTAATGTTTCTGTATGGTAGGACTAGAAGTGATTTTTAGTTTTCTTCTTTATACTTTCACATATTTGAAAACTTTCTACAATTAGTATATACCATTTTATAATAAGGAAAATAATTTAAAAATGGAAAAAATGTTAGTGACTGAGCCGGAGTGGAGGAGGCTGTTTATTCTCCCTCTTTGCTGGTGGGGCAGTGGAGACAGGTGTGTGTCCCCTGACCCCCTGGCTCCTTGTGCCCCAACTCTTCCCAGAGTTCCAGATGATACTCACACTTGACAGCTGGGTTTGAGACATTGTGGCATCTGATATTTTGGAGGAGCACACAGTTGACCCATTAAGGCATTTTACCATCAAGGCCAGGGCACCTTGTGAGCACAACCCATTCTCCTCTAACATTCTAAGGTACAGATTACCTTTTTTATTCAGATAGTCTCCTAGTAAAGTGTCAAATCAGTCCTTAAAAGCCCGTGATAGAATCTTGGGGCATCGTCGATTGCAGTGTTCTCATTGACAGGTGGAAACATTGTAGCCCAGAGAGACCTGGTGGTGGCCTTGAACCCTCCCCACTGGCCCCCAGTCTACTGGGCACTCTGTTCTGTTGGCAAACCTGCCCGTGCATGGCCCTCAGTCCTGGCTGTTAGTTGGGTGCACTTGGGGGATGGGCACCGACACCCATCCTCCCTGCCTAGCAGGTTGCTGTTTTCTCAGAGCACCCATGGCCTCATATCAGCACATAATGAAATCAGTTGAGGGGGTCAAGACCAGCATTCTTTAAACAGGGTGAGATGGCATAGCATAGCAGTGTACAGCATGGAACAGAACAGTGGAAGCATGGAGTGCCAGTGTCAGTCTGCAGACCTTTTATTTCAGTTAGATGTGCTCATGTGTACACCTTAAGTGCTTCAAAAGGAGGCTCAGGAACCCCGCCCCTTGACCTCCATGGAGCAGATCTGCAGAAAGGCTGGTGTCTCAGAACACACTTCTTCCTCATTTCAGACAGTGCTTCACGCCAAACTGCTGACCCCACATGGACATTTGGCTCTAGTCAGGACTCACTCTGGGGAAAGGCAGGTTTCTCCATGACTGCCCCTGTGGCCCAGCAGCCACTTACTGGGAGTCCAGAGCCAAGGTCCCGGGTGTACTCCACAATGGGCGCTGGCCTGACTGGAGCCCCAAGGGTATGCAGGGCTCCAGCTCCCCCGAGGCTTGTGGCTGCCATGGGAACCAGGTCCCTTGGAATCAGGCTGCCATGGAAACCAGGTCCCTTGGAATCCTGACAGCTTGAGTCATTTTGGCACAGATTTTAAACATCACAGAAAAACAAAGTATTGAAAGATCCAATGTTTTGTTCATGAGGCTCCAGGAGGACCCCAAATTGAGCCAGAGTGCAAAGAATTCCCTGTGACAGTCTGCTCTGGCCTCGGAACTTGACACTCTAAACTCTCAAGCAGAGGGTGGTCGGGGGTAGCTCTTGGCCTCACCTCAAGTGTGACGTGTCCCCTGCATCACACACGTGGAAAGCTCTGATTTCCTTTCTGTGTGTCTTGCTCTCTGAGGAGACAGATCTCCAGTGCCAGGTCATCTCTCCATCCGCCAGCTAGGTAAGTCCCCGAGTTCAGACCACAGGCCCCATTAGCTGTCACTGGCCCTTGTGCCCAAGCTTGTCCTTGTGACAGCCTCATTGGCTCCAGTGATGCCTTTGCCTTCCCTGGGTCACCTCCTTGTGCCCCCCACACACACAAACACACATGCTCCTTTAGGCACCATTCTGGCATGTTCTCAGAGTCAAGAATTCACAGGAAGCTGCCTTTGCCTTCCCTGGGTCACCTCCTTGTGCCCCCCCACACACACATGCTCCTTTAGGCACCATTCTGGCATGTTCTCAGAGTCAAGAATTCACAGGAAGCCACAGAGAGCTGGGGTTGACGTGGGTGTTCCTCGGCTCTAGCCCGTTTTCCAGGCGTGACCTTGGGAGCCCGGAGTCCCAGTCTCCACATTGCCGATTTCAGTTGCCTCAGCCACCGGCCATGAAGGCCGCTTGATGCAGCTGTGCCAGAGGAGGGCGGCATTTCATGCCGAGTCTGTGGCCCCCAGATCCTCTAATGTGCTGTGTTTTCATCCTGCCCCCAAGCGGTGCCTTTTCCCAGCCAGCCATGAGCCCGGAGGGCCTACTCTCCCCCTCGATCCTTATGAGTGGCATTAGGATCACGGCATCACAGCATCCCCAGTAATCAGCAGCCTCGCTCTTGGGGTTTAGGTCCCCTGGGACACCAGACGCCTCAGGGCATTCCAACAGAAGCGGTCCTGCACAGCCCGAGAGCTAGAGCTGAGCCTCCTAACTCAGAGTGCTGACCCCTGGCTTTGCAGCTCTAGGGGAGCAGTCCTGGAGCAACAGAGCAGCCAGAAGCCAGGTGCCCATGAGCGAGGTGCCCGCCAGCTGCCCCTTGCCCTCAGCAAGCCCTCCCCCAGGAGCCTTCTGCCCCCGCCCGCGGAGGGCATCTGCCTGTTTCTATTTTATTCTCTGCTGAAGGAAGGATATTTCAAGGTTATTAATGAGAGTGATAGCGATCCCTTGTGTATTTATCTTAGATTATGTGGTCGTTGCGAGCTGAAGTGCCTCAAGCAGCCAGTCTGCGGTTGATTTGGAAACAGGCGAGCCTCAACAAAGAGCTCGAGGAGAGGTGTCAGGTATAAATCTTGTCTTCACACAGCCAGGTGCATTCCAGACTTCAGAGACACTCCTCTGTGTAAAGGCCTTTTTCTCCATCCCGCCTTTCTTCTCCTCGGGCTGGAGCAGGATGAAAGTGCAGGGGTGTGTGTGTGCATTTAGTCTGATAATGAGGGTGAGGCTCGCGGGCATGGTCATTTGGCAGCTTTGGCACTTCCTGTAACAGTTTTAATTTTTTCTTTTTCTTTTTTTTTTTTATCCAAAGGCTGCTTAAAGACAAACATTTTTTGTTAAACTGCTGGTAGTTCATTTTCTGCAGGAACCGTGCAATTAATCTTGTTTATATTAAAGAGACAGGTTGCCTTTGTCAGCTTTCCTGAGCTATAATTAATGAAGATCAAAAACGTTACAAAGACATAATATTTAGCTTAATGCAGATGAGGCTGGGCAGCAGCTGCATCAATTAAAGGAGCGAAAGGGAAAACAAATATCCCTTTTTTTGGAATACCTCAGATACATTAAAAAGCAAGGATCACGAGGTTTCTTCCCTCCGCAGCCTTCCCTGGTGAGCCTGGTGAAAGATGGGGCTTGGACATCAAATGATTTGTAACACCCCGTCAATCGTGCTGTAAACGCAGTTGGAGGCACCAGTGTTTCTCCATATTTAGCCCAATTTATCCAGGTGTGTGGCTGCAGATCAGAGGCACAGAGCCTGAGGACCTCTTCAGAGGGAGGGTCGTGCCAGGGGAGGATCATGCCAAAATCAGGATGGCAGGTGGAACCTGATGGAAACTTTTAGTCCACTGAGGGGCGCTAAACAAGCCCGGGGCCACTTTATACAGAGCCTTCTGTTGAAGGACTGTCATTAGAAACAAAACACAGTTGATCAGATGTCCTCAGACAGCAGCACCTGCTCTGCCTGTGCAACCTTCTAACCCTGTGACTAAGACCTGTTGCTTCTGCATGAGAGTTCAGAAGGATAACCTCTGCCTGTAAACAGCCACCTGGAGACTGTCAGAGAATTTGATGGTGGTGTAGGGTGCGAGGTGGCATCCAAGCCAGTTACCTCACTAGGAGTTAAAGAAGTTGAGGCCCGAGAAAACTGTAGAAATGTGTGCAAAGTCACACAGTTAGAGAGCCACCCCACCCTTCTGCTGAGCTTCACAAACTTGAGATCCCAAAAGCAAAAATCCAGGACAGGGAGGAAAATGCAAAACAAATCATAA